TGCGCCTTTTAGTACGGTGCGCCTTATGGTCGTGAAAATACGGTACAATATTCATTGTTAATACACATAAATGTGTATACAAAACATGTTGTTCTAATGAACTCATCAAAAGTTTACAGTCTTGTTTTTTTAATATAAAATACCCCATTTTCAATGAAATGTATGATGACTATTTTAAACTAACAATTTGCATTCTGTATAAATCTGCACACGATAATGTTTCACATGCTATTGTGTACAGTATGATGTGAAAAATACTTTTTTACTTTCTGGTTTAACGTTATTAGCTTCATTTAAGATATGCGCCTAGAAAAACAAGTGCAGCAAACCTGTAGTTCTTGCTAAGAAGAGTGTTTGTTAAATCTCAACACAAGCAACTCACTTTTGAGCCACATGTTCTCTACAACAGCACATGTGTCACTGTACTGTAGTCTTACTTTAGAAACAGCGTCATCATTCTTTAGTGAGCCTTCAGCCGGTAGTGCTGCAATCCATATTTCTTTTCGTGCTGAAACCTAGCCTTCACCTTTTCAGGTATTTACTGCATAGTCTCTTTTTTAATTTAAATAACCTCAATCAATATGTTTCACAAAGGTTACTTTGAACGAGCAGAAGGACACAGGAATGATAGAGATGGAGGAAGAAGGGCACCATAACAGGATTTTTCCCTTTCCCCTTTTTCTCCTCTTAGTTTGATGATTAATCGAAAGCCATTAGTAGGAAGTCAAGGCCAGTGAATTCAGTTTTAATTAGTTTCTTTTTTTACCTCCCTTTCTGCTGTGGTTTGACGCAATGTATGTATTATCTACTCACTGTGAAATTGGCAAAGTGTTTATCTGATTTTGCTCTACTGTCTTTTAGCTGCTTTTGCTGTACTCTGCAACACCAGGGGAGCTGAAGCCTCACCTTTGGTTTTGAGAATGGCTTCTTCATTAGAGGCTGAATGCAAATACAAGCTGTCATACAGTAACTTCTTTTAGCAGAAAAAGCAAAAGGACATTTAGATTAGATGTTACGGTGTTCCCATTATCATCAGCATTTGAGGCTGGATGTAATGGGAGATGGACATGCTGAGATTTACTAAATAATGTCTCAATTTCCTAAACCCTAGGAATCGGTGGGATTGTCGTTATTAGCTAGATAAGGATGTTACACTCTCACAGTCCTTTATTATAAATATAGGCTCTGGTGTAGATATTGTACTGTGACATATCTGTCTAGGACCCTTTTCCCTGATAACTGAACCTGTGGTGTTAGGAGGACAATAACTGTGATATAGCTGCAGTTAATCCCTCTCATCTTGCCATTGTTAATCCTTGCTCTGACCAGTTCTTCCACATCTATTTTAGACTTGGTGTGTTCTGTTGAAATTGCTGTCCATTTTAACACAACTGCTTCAGTTCTTTGGAAAAGTATTACAAAACCTTTAAGCTTTTTCTCATTTTCTAACCAACCTTTTCAAAATAGAGTTTAACTGCAAAAAGAAAAAAAAACAGACAACTTTCAAGTAACAAGTGTTACTTCCTGCTTTTCTGTTCAATTCCCTAGTAGATATGTTTGTTAAAACAGCTTTTATCATGTCTAAACCTTTATATCTTTTTGTTATATGATCACATCTAGAAACTGATCATTTTTTTCTCAATTTCATGATAGATAGTACTGAATAGAGAGCATCTTTATAAAGATATTAAGTGGTAAATGGCTTGCACTTTTATAGTGCTTCTATTAAGCCCAAGGACACCAAAGGGCTCCACACTACAATCAATCATTTACCCTTTTAAACACATTCCCACACTATAGGTGGTAAGATGCATTGTTGCCACAGCTGCCCTTGAGCAGCCTGACATAAGAAGAGCTGCCAATCTCTGACCATCAGCAATAGGGAAGGTGGGTGAAGTGTGTCCCCCATAGAGATGACAGACAGACAGGGTCTTACTCGCAGCCCACTGATTACAGGATAAACTCCTCCAACCTCAGCTACTGTTGCTCCAAAAGGATTATTAAGTATTTCCATAGAGTCTCGGCTGGGTTGAGTTCATGATTTTAACTATTTCAACTAGTGAATATGCTTTAATTTAAACCATTCTGCCTTAACTCTGTGGTTGCTTACGGTCATTGTAAAAGCCACAACACACCTGACACAATTTAGTGTTCGATTCGAAGGAAAACTGGATTAAATGAGGATGTGGCACTCCCTACAAATGTTGTAGCTCTGACCAAGGTAGACTATTGCATCACATTGAATGCCCAAGAGCAAAAAAATCACTCTCACAAATATGTTAAAGTAGTTTCACCCTTGAGTTTATTAAACACCGTGCAAAAAATCCCACATGGGCAAGGAACTGCAGATTTTTGAGAAGAAATTAGTCAACCGCTGTGCATTCCTCTTATGAAGACTGCACAGCTTTCTTTTCTTTAGTAAAGAACCTTTTTTTTTTTTTTACTTTTCAGAATTTTACCTAGTCAAATGCAGGAGATTTGATCAATTTATGGGAAATTGTGGCAGAAGTAAAAACTAAGGCACAGTCACACACAAATCAGGACATCTAGCCGCCCAACGCATGGCGGGAGCGACTAGATGCTAAATCACATCAATGCTCGCAGAATTTGTTGCAAGCTTTGTCACCCTGCCTTCATGTTGGCAGTTTAACATCTGCCCAAAAGTTGCATGTTTTGAGGCGTCTAACAGGTTTTCAAGCTTGATTTAATCAATTCCATTTGCCTAAAAACTCTTATTTTCCTGCTGAAAAGCAGCATCCCCACAACATAATGCTGCAGTGCGGGTGCCTTCAGGGTGATATAAAAAAATTTCCTTTGTTATATTTTTCAATTTGGCCAAAAAAAGTTTGGTTGTTGTTTATGTATTATTTAAGCAGAACATCTTCTTACATGTGTTTAGTTTCATAACTTTTCATTGATTTCTTTTTATAATGGCTTTCCTAATGATGCAGAAGGGTCAGGTGTTTGACAAAAAAGTTATGTGGACTGCATTCTATCATCCAAGCATTGGATTTTCTTATGCTAAAGAGCTGCGTATCTGACCAACGCTTACCTTTGGCAGCCTGCCAGTATATTTGGCCATGTTTGCTCTAATTACAGTTGGTTGCACTGAATTTTACTAAGTACTATTAGATTAAAGGGGGCTGAACTCCTAAAATTCTATTTTTTAATCAGTAAATAATTTTAAATAAACAAAATATATTTTTTCTGCTTCATAACTAATCCACATCAAATATATTGATTGTTTCGAACATAAATCAAATATTTTATCTTTTCTTAATTAGTTTAAAAAAAACAACCTTTGAATTACTGTTAATAAACAAATTAGTTTGTCAAGAATGAGAGGATTCTGTAGCATAAATAAAATACATTACATTGTAGCCTACGCTCTTTATGCCCATTTGCTATTAAATACTCACCTAAAGTATGAATTTTGCTAACATAAATAGTTATATTTTAGCAATTCCGACAGATTTTATTATTTCTGGACATAACTTCAAATTCCAGCTAAGCCTATTTGCTGTTACAGTCATTTCAGTCAGGATCCCAGACCATAAATTTACATAAAGGACAGCTTGTGAGATTGAGGACTACAATGTAATGCTACAGAGCCAATGACAAAATGATAGAATTTTTTTTATCCCTTCCCTCTGGTCCTTTGTTCTCATTTTGTTTTGTTGTCAGAGCCTAAGGGTTTATGTGGACTTGTTTGTGATGCAAACATTTTTCCCCTTAGCCGTTTTCAGTTTCAGTTTACAGTCCAAGAAATGTATTACACACAATGAAGTCCTGCGGCTAGTTGATTCAGTGACAAAGATAGAATCTATGCATGCTATCAGTGTCAGAGCAGCCTTTGTTATCAGTTTATAAACTGATTTTATTAACTTTAAAGTCGAATATTTCATTACCATCGCTTTACTGATGCTGCAACCAATTTAATTTTACCAGAAGTGGACAGCTGGGCTGTGTCAACCTTTTGAGTGTTATTGAGCCTGACCCCATCTGACTGCTTATCTTTTGTTTTAATAAAATGGTCTTTGCCTTGGCATTTACATACTTTCTCCCAAGTCAATTATGCTCATTAAGTTTTGGTTATTATCATTATACCAATAATGGAGATTATCCAAAGTCACCTCAGCTATTCAGACTGTGACTCACAAGTTGTTTTACTTTTAGAAGGTCATCCTCTGCCATGATCCATTCTCTCAGTGCACCAGCAGTCTTACATCCCTGTCCTTTGTGTTCCTCAGACCTTCGGGAGATAGTGTTTGTTCTCCAGAGTCAAAGCAACTCATTCCATGTGAGGAAGGCAGAAAGGCAGAGGGCAGATTTACTGAAGCAGGCGCATGGTCTCACTGAGGTAAGCTTGAAGTATGTTTTCTTTCATCCATTCTTTATCTGAATTTGGCACAAACACCCCACATGTTCTCACAGAAAATAAATATGTTGAAATGAACCCTTGCTGCCATAAAGATAAATACGTTGCTGACTCTAAACTTTTATGCCCTTTGCTGCAAACACTAGTTAGTAAAATGTATTGTCATGCCATTTGTAAAGTTAACATTTTGTATTATCTGTTTTGTGTAGATAACACAGCTTAATTTAACTTAACAAAAAATGTTTTTTTTACGTTTTTGCAATATAAAGAAGTACTCCTAGATTTTATTATTAAATGCTTAGAATAGAAATTATTTATGCCTTCATGGCTACTGCGTGTAAATCCATGTCTTAAATATGAAAGTGTAGTTTAAAATATTTAGAGCTTTCAGCACTTTGTGACATTAGGTTACTTATAATTTTATATAAATAGGAAATCTCTAAAGCACTCTAAAGCAGACTGAAGACACTGCATCTCAATGTGCTACACTTTATAGCACAGCCAGCAAATAATGATGACCACCCTTTTAATGCTTACCACATTTGTGCTACATTTAGTTTTTATCCCTTTGCTCCCACAATTGGCTTTATGTCTGCTCTAGATTAACAAAGCAATTGGTACTAAAGACATGGAGCAGCAGCCAGGTTGAGTCCAGCATATAGGAGCTATTTTAACTATCAGGAGTAACTGAAAGAAGACTTTCTCTTTTTATTATTATGTCAATTAACCCTCCTACTGTAGGTTCCTGGAAAATCCTCATACCTGTCATCTTCTGCTTTATCTGGGACCGGGTTGCGGGGACTGCAGTCTTAGCAGAGACTCCAGGCCTTCTTTCCCAGGCTAGCCAAGAGGGTCTCCCATCAGGGTCTGTCTCTTCACCCTGGGCTCATCCATAAGGGAAATGCCTGGAACATAGGGAGGCATCCGAAAAAGTTATCTGAGGCACCTCAGCTGACTTGTCTCGATGTTGAGGAGAAACAACTTTAACCCGAGCTTTTCCCTGATTACCAAGTTCCTCACTGTATCTCTAAGGGAGAGCCCAGCCACCCTGTGCAGAAGCTCATTATGTTCGCTTGTTTCTGGGATCTCTTTCTCTTAAAATTGATCCAGATTTCATGAATATAAGTGAAGTATAAGAACAAAGACTGGTAAATCTGGAGACGGGATGCTGGCCTTTTGGCTCAGCTCTCTGTTCACCAGACCAGTGCCGTGACAAATATATCATTCTCTAGCTCCATTCTTCTCTCACTATGGAATAGGACATCAAGATATTATATTTGACTCCTTCACTTGAGGCAGGAACTCTCCTTCAAGCTAAAGGGGACTAGCCGCCTTTTTCCAGAGAGCTCATTCTCTTCCTGGCCGCTTCACACTCAGCTGTCAAATGCCAAATGTGGAAAGAGTACTGACAATTTGTACTCATGTACAAGTACTGTTACATTGTTTAAATTATTCTCAATTAAAAGTAAAAGTGCTGGTTATAAAAAATTACTTAAGTAAAAGTACAAAGTACTCTTTTCAAAAACTACTCAGAGTACCAATTACTGTTTAACTGATGGATGTTTTATTGCATTGTATATAGCATGCATTTTATTCAAGCCACTTGTATTTATCTATGCTCAAAGAACATTTCTTAAATGAACAAGGTACGTATGGAGAAACTGCACAAATTAAATTGTGTTGTAAAGAAATGTAGACATAAAGCAGAAATGTTGTCTGTTAAACGAACAATTGAAACTTTACCCAATACACTGAACAATGGGCAGGGTAAAAGTCATACTAGCCGAAATAGACAAGCCTTTCTGTCACACCTCACTTTCTCAACCTTTTGCTCAGTTTCAGCAAGAGCCGGTTTTCTAACTTTAAACTCTATCCCGCTTCATTTGGCTGTGAAAAGTAGACCATCACAGCTAAAAAGAGGCAGGCAAGGCTGTGTTCAGCTTGAGAGATAGCTTTTTAATGGCTGTGAAGGGGAGCAGCAACTCCATAGTGTCTGTGGCAGAAGCAAAGTAACCATCAAGCTCAACTGGACTTTGAAGTATTTTGCAGATTGGTCTAGAAAATAAATAGCCTCTTAAAGATTCCCTAAGTCATGAGCATCGGTTGTTGCCACAAGGCTATGCAGGTGACATGTACATTGCTGATGAGTTGATATTCCTAGAGGCTGCAAAGTGGTAACCAATTCTGTGAAAGCTGGCTGTTCTACCACTGAAAATGGCTTTAGACCTTAACATCTAGTATGATAAGCTTGTCAACAGTTGCTTGTTGAACAAGTTTGTCTGCAGCTCTCAACACCACGTCTGGAAGTGTGGCTTGTTTTTTTGTTTTTTTGCTGAGAACTTGTTTAGTGTGGCCGTGGTCTTTTACTTTTGAGATGTTGCTGCCACAGTGATGTACTGCTCCATTTCTGATGGATGTTTCCTCTGCAGAGATGAATATGATCACACTCCAGGTTCAAACATTACTTCATCAAATCACTGTGATTACCACAGAAGTAAAAAAAAAAAAAAACACACATATTAAAAAAATTGTTCAATCAGAGTAACAATTTAAGCGGACATTTTTGTTTAGCATTATATAAAAGAGTGTCAGGATCTGTTTAATTGGGTTGTTTTGTATTTGGTGTTGTTAGTTTCTAGGTTTGATTATGATTCTGTGTTCCTTAGTGTTTTTATTTTATTTATAGTAGTCCTGTTCCTGCTTTAGTTAAATTCAATTTGATGATATGATTGAAGAATCATAAATTTGGGTAAATCTGCGAACTAATTGACTAAAGATTTAGTTCATAACGTATTATGACTCACTTTCATGCAAGCACGTTTAGCTAGCTCAGTCATCAGATTAAACAACGGCTGTGACGATATCTGCAGACTTGGCTTAGCAACATTAATAGCCTTAAAACCCATAAGAAAGCAGAGAGCAATATCATATAAGTAGAGTTGTAAAACATCTTAATGCATTGTTTTTTTTTTTCAGATTAGATGTTGAGGTTTTATAAGCTGATGTGATCGTACCAGTCAAACAAATTTTGCACTGCATCTGCACGCCGTCTCCTTTTTTTCCTATGATGTGAAAAACTCATCCAGTTCTCAGACTTTGTCTTTTTCTCATCATTTTCACTGTTTACTGTGTTGTCTTCTGTCTCCATTTTGGCTTCCTTATACTGCTTTTTTGCTCCACTCCAAACCTGTAGCTGCTGCTGTGGACCTTTTTTCTTGCTTCAGTTGAGTTGACTTAAGTATAGGAAAGATGAAAAGCAGGTGTCCAGGAGGTGCAAATAATTGGCGTATGTAGCAAAGTAGCAATTTGTGATTTTCAATATAGCATAACATGGTATAAATTCCATGTATGAGTAAAATTACACATAAAAAAAAAAAAAAAGACTCAATGCTCCCGAAAACTACTTAATTACAGTAACGTGAGTATTTGTTATTCCTTACTTCCACCTCTGTCAAATGCTCAACTGCGCGCTGTAGATCTTGGCAGGAGGGAGCCTGCAGAACCACATCATCTGCAAAAAGCATGGACAAAATATGCTAGTCTAAAATGTACTGAGAGGAGGTCTGACTTAATGCTTGGAAATGTCACATGCCTTGATTTGTGTGGACGACATAAGAGCTTTTTGAACCATTCTTTGAGACGTCATTGTAGTCTTCCAACAACGTAGCCTGTGGGATCATGCAGGGACTGAAGCCCCTCCCATAAGTTAAAGTGGTGTACTTTGATAGTATTACGAGGTAGATCCACAATCAAGCTGTTAGCATACCAGCATTACATTACAAAAACACTGTGTACATCAGTTTTGTTTACCAAACTCACATTTATCAAACGGTGCTATGATAAAGAAGGATACTAAAATTTTACAATGAAATATGTGGAGAGACACTTGGTATTGATAGATGGAATATAAACTCTTAATTTAATTCTCCTCCCCTTTTCTTAAACTGATTATGAAATACACTTTTCTGTCCATGATTTCTTCCGCCTCCAAGAGACAAAACTGTTAAGCAGATTTGCTATTTATGTCTTAACTGATGATCTTCAAACACAAAAACAGTTAGAATGAAGCATTTCAACCTTGTGATATTGCAGTTTATGTTTGAAATGTATTGAAATTCACTTTTTAGATGCAGAAAAAGAAGGAATTATGGAAATGAAGAAAAACTGTAATGATTTGATTATCTGAAGGAAAGAGGTTCCATGCAGCAGACATGACGACAATCCTGATTATAGGATTTGTACGGTCACATCTTGATGCAATCATTTTATTACTTCAATCATCTTATGCTTCTGCTACAACATATGAAAAACGACAGAACAATATTATTAAAAGCATAAATTATTATGGTACATGAAATTGTGCAAAGCTAAAAAGATTACTATTTCTGTCTCTTTATCTGCCTTTTTAAATGCAGAAACATATTTACCATTACCCTGAATACTGCCTGTGTTTTTGCAGTCCAACATTCAACCTTTTCCTAAAGTATGTTTGTCATTTAAACAATTTTCTTATTCACAGATACATGCTTAGATCGGGAGGGAATGAAATGAAGCCATACAGTTTTTTTTTTATACGTTTGTTTTATTACATCAGAAGTGCAATGATTTGCAGCAGTTGGCTTATTGTAATTTGTGGAATCCTGACCCAACTAAACTTTTACTAAAAAAGAAAACAAACAAACATGTATATATGTTTTATAGCCATTAAGGTCTTTTTGCCTTAATTTTCCAGGTTGCAAAGCACTTGGTGCCCCTGCAGTTCATTTTTTGTAAAGTATGTCTCCTATAGAGGTTGTTGAAATGGCTTATTCATCAGAGCTATGTTTACAAAAAGAAAATAAGCTGATTTTTAACCCTGACAATTTTAACTGTTTTGATTTTTCTTTTTAGTTTTTTTTTTTATAAAACAATAAAGTTGTATATTTTAGAGGTCTATTAATTTTTTCAATTGCTTAACTCACTAATAAAGATAGTTTAATTAGATAACAAAACAAACGTAGCTAATACAAATAAACTAATGTTAGCAGTCTAAGGTTTAGTGTTTCAAACCTGCAACGTTTAAGCTTAGTGCGCAAGTATTTGCCCTGGCTTCCTCTCTGTTAACTGAACCGTACTGTAATGAACCACAGGGCCACAGTCTGCTGCTGTGTTGTCCTTTGACAATCCACATACTTGTTCTGTCTGTACAAAAGAAAAATATTTTCCAGGCAGTTGTAAACTCTGTCTTTTCCACAAAAGATCTTGTGCTGTTTTAGATCTCTTTCTAGAAAAATTCACCTTCTACAATGAGAGCAGAGAGTAGCTTTGAGATTTGAGAATAATTTCTAACAGTGATCTGTTAATTTCTTAAAGACTTTGTAAAGTATAAATAAATGCATGTTCTTAGTTTGCACACCACATAAATGTTTTAATAATCACCCATTTGAATTTGAATTTTGAAAAACTACTGTCCTTACCGGACCATAGAGTGCGCTTCACTGTAAGCCACGCCCACTTTTATTTATTTATTTAACTGGAAACATCCGTAGATAAGTCGCACTAGGTTATAAGCTGCTGATATCTGTTGAATTGTCTCGCACCAAACCAGTAGGGGTAAATCTACATATGGCGCCTGGAGTAGGGAAGAAGGAGAATGGTAGTAAAAGAAGGAGAGCTTCTACTAAAGGATGGGGCTTCTCCAGCTCTTTATTTCAGCTCTGCAGGAGTTGAGCCCAGTCTCTTCGCTTTTGAAACGGCAAACAAATGTCAAAATTTGTGAATTTGATGAATACATTCTCCATCATGTGCTTGTTCTAAATAAAAAATTAGCCCCTTATTCTTTAATTTCCAATAAAAGCCACACCTTCTTGTAAGCTGCATGGTTCAAAGCGTGGGGGGGGGGAAGTAGCGGCTTACAGTCTGGAAAGTACGGTAGGTCTCAAAATCTCCAACCAAATAATAATATTTAATATAGATATAGATTTAATATAGATAAAGCTGAAAATATGTAGTTAGTAATTTTTTTTTTTTTTTTTTTTTTTGAAAAAGGGGCCCGAAAAGTCAGAATGCATAAAAATTACACTGATAAAATGTTTACCAATATAGACATGTTAGACATCCTTGGAAAACTTAGATTCTCCACAATTCAGCCACCTACTTAATTTTATGGACACAGCGAGCACCAAAGCATAATTAAAACAGATATAGCAGCATGTTAAAATGTACCATGACAAAGCAGCCACAACAACAAGCATGTCTTTATAACTGCTGTTCAAAAAATACTTATTATTTTTCGAAAATAAAACAAAAAACAAAAAAAACTTTGAGTCTTGTTTGAACTGATGCAGCTTGGGCATCATGCAGCTTGGGTCTTTTACTCACTCAATTTTGTATATATTCAGAAACTAGAAGGTGTTAGCTTTTAAATAATATATCACACATGTAATTTGGGCTTACAGTTCCTCAGTTATTTGCTTTTTCATTTGGGTAAAATAGACGAGAATTTATCAAAATGAGGTGGATATTAAGAGGTTAAACAGTATTTATTGAAACCCGAATTTCATTTGAGTGCCACAGTGCATCATAGAAGTTTGGGAAATGTTTTACACGTGTCGAACAGTATAGTTATGATGTTTATAATGTCTTAAGAAGAAAATTGAGAAAATTTGCTTTAAACTTTCCATAATGTCCATCACTAATTTAAAAAAATGAAGTAAATGCCTAAAATGTTGTTTTTTTTTTTTTGCATAAGTAATATATGGTTTAAAACGTTTTTTTTTTTTTTTTTATCAAAGACTTAAGGCCTGGTCTTCACAGGGTTTGCATGTCTTAAAACAGGTGCAGACGTTTTGCTCCTCTTCTTGCAATTGACAGAATTCATGCAAGTGAAATGTTGAGCTTAGACACATAGATGTGCTCAACCAGGATTGTATTGTAACACAAGAACGTTGGAGAAATGCTCAGCATTTTTTCCTGTCGCACAACCCAAGACCATTCAGTGAGGGGTTCTCCAACTAATCGTTGATGAAGGGAGACTTGATACACAGTTGAGTCTGTAACTATTTTCAACATGTAGTTACTGATGAGGCTTTAGACCTGCTGCCTCATCTGTCTATGTGTCCAATATTCTCCAATCAAAGCGATCAATATTGGAGACAAGCCACCTGAGAGCATGACTCACAACCGCTCCCGGTGTTAATGCGCACTGCAGGTTGGGCTTCAGGACAGAGGCGATGACAGCCATCTGTCACTGTCATTTGTTGCTCCCTGTGTGTCGACCCCATTAGTGCGAAGCACCAAAGTGGCCAAAAGCTGGACGTACAGAGTTGTGAGGAAATGCAAGACCCATGCATCACATAAAAATACTTAAAGAAAACCCCTAAAATCTAATAAGGCTCTTGTGGCCTTAATTTGTATTAATTTTGAAAGTAGGCAGTCAGGAAGTGGGAGTAAAGACATAGCAAAGGCTACCAGCCCGAGACTCAAACCTTGTGATGGTTGCACCAAGGACCATAGCATCTGTACACACTTAACCACCGTGCCACCATATTGTGCGTGCATACGTAAGACCCAAGCAAAAGACTATGAGTAGTGCATGAAAGTAAAACTTTTTCATACTAATGAAATGTGTGAGAAACAATTTTTCATGCCTCTTAAAAAGTTCTAATGGATTTCTGTTTTTTCTATTTATGCTTGTCCTGCTCCTGTTTAAGTTTTGGCCAAAAGCCCCTGAAATACGCTGATTCATAATTTTGAATAGTATTGCTATTGCTGCATTTACTGTTTATTAAACATTTTAGGGACTGCAGAATGATCAGTTTCCACTAAAAAAGGTGCATTAAATGAGCAGGGGAAATATTGACCTATTTGCAAATAAATGTAAACAATATTTTTTGTCCTTCTTTAGTTGCTCTGTATTCTCTAGCTGTTGAATTATCTAATTTAGATTTGTAGGAGCAAGAAAAATCAGACAGGCAAGATTCTGTAGATTCAGCTTTCTGCTCCTTTGGAACTTCATACATTAGGTTCCTGAAGTTTCACTAACATTTTAAAATTCACTAACTTCAGCAGATTTTTAATTTCATTTCTCAGTCATAAAATTTCATTTTGTCATTTTTTTTCTAACAATTTTCTTCATTCGTTATTGCTTATTGATATTGGGGCTAAAACAGTTAATTAAATTAATCGTGATGAATCAATTATTATAATAATCAATAAATAATTTAGAAATCGATTGATCGTTAACTGTGGTACAGAGACTGTAAAATGTGCATTTAGCTGACAGGGCCGCTTAGAGCAGTAATTATACCAAAATAAAAAAAAAGAAAATATGTAAACGTTTTGCATTTAAGGTTAAAAAATGTTTTTTGTCAATATGGTCTATCCAGAAGTCCTCAAGTGAAAAAAGTTTTAGTTTCACCTAGTTTAATTTTGTAAAAAATCTTCTTTAAGGAACCTTTGGCTAGCCGATTATTAATCGATTAATCGAGAAAATAACATACAGATTAATCGATTTGCAAAATAATCGTTAGATGCAGCACTAATTGATACTATTTTAGTTAGTTTATTTTTAATTGCCGGATGGGTGCAGATTTGACTCGTAAAGTTTAAGCTTTCAGAACATAATTTTTCTTTTTCTGTTTCTCAACAAGGCCTTAGAAAGGTGGCAGAAAAAATAATTATCTCTTAATATTAACTGATGTTTTTAACTCTTAATTTCATTTTTATTTGAACATATTTAGCTATCTTTTCTGAGCTAGGAAAGCGAATTGATGTTACCAGAGCTTAGATTAACTTAAAATAAGATTTTCCATAAAATAAATAATTGAATGAAAATCTAAAGGCGGAGAGGACATCTCTTTATAGACATTACTGTCTGTATTGTAGATCTGTGTGTATACTCTCCTCAAGGGGAGCCACTTTGTATAAAAGAAATAGCTTCAATTTCTATTTTCTGCAATTTGTTTGTTGCCAATGACTCTGACCTAATAGGACGAAGACTCAATGTCCTTATATAGTTGAGATTCATCATTGTTTTGTTGATCTCATAACTCCCTCATGGCTGCAAGCAGTTTTTCCACTGAGAGCTTGCATAGCTTTCATAAATGGTCCACAAAACAGCAGCTTTGTAGATTATGAAATGATACTCGTGAAAATGTTATCTTTGAAAAGTATGATTAGTAAAACACTTTAGAAATTCAGTCCATTAGAAAAACTGCAATAAAAAAATAAATAAACCAAGCATGCGTGTACACCTTTAAATAAAAGATGTAGGAAAAGCTGCAGTGTTGAGAAAACTGCTGACCTTTCTGTTTCTTGGTGGTTTGTCTTTAGAGGTGTGAAGTTTTTCTCTGGTTTGCTTTGTGTTTCAGAAACCACCTGTGGTTTTGCTCCTACACACTTTATCAGACAATGAGGGTGATTGGAGTATACTTCCACTTCTGCCTTAGTAAGTATCACCTTTCAGCTTTCAAGAACATATGAAAAACTGAAGTTTATTAGTTTTATAGCTCACTGTTTACCGAGATGGTTTTGAACCCCAACAATAATTGTAATCACTGGCTTCACATTTTAACAAATTGAGCTTTATTTTGTTTGTGGTTTTAAAAGTGCAGTTAATAATAAGTACTAACAATATCATAAAAACATTTTCATGCTTCATAAGAATCTAACAAATTCTGTAATTTTTTACCATAACAAGAATTAAGCTTTAAGTAACATCCTACCATTATACAGCCTTACTAGCTTAGTTTCTTTTAACATTTTCTCTTGGATAAATCTCTGCTGCTGTCTTCATCTGGTTTGGCTGAGTGAGAGAGCCCTTGTTGGATTGTTCCTCAGCTCTTTGTCTGTTTGGATTGTGCATGTCACTGCTCTGTTTATCATTGTTTTATTATTTATCAATAGCCACGATTAGCCTATTTTTTCTTCCTGTCTCTTCAGCTTTTCCCAGTCTTTTGGGAAAAACTCATCCTGGATTTTATTTCTTGAGGAGGAAACAAATGTGAAGATGGTTACGCTTCTTCAAGCTCTGGCAAAATTTCACAAGAGTAAGGTGAGCAAAGTCATTCTGTTGTTTAAAACTCTCACTTGATTATCGCGCTTTATGCAATTATTCATGCTTAAGGGTATGAATCCCTGGTCATAGATTCACACATTATATATGTTGATACACGACCTATGATCCTATTAAGCTAAAGAAAATAACATCCTTCTATTTCTATGCAGTGTAATTAGCATATTTTTAGGTAAACATTTTAATGCAATTTAAGGAAAAGCTATTTGTTTAAATTCAAAGTGACAGAACAAAGAAAAAATATATAGTACTTTTCACAATCAAGTCTTATCCAGTGATTGTTATGCAGTCTTTATGAACTTCATAGTCTTATCCAGACCAGGTTGTAGGGGCCACAGTCTCAGCAAAGAAACCTGAACCTCCATTTCCCCAGAAAACTCTTCCAGCTCCTCTTGGGAAGCCTAAAAAATTTTACTCTGCACTGGTAAAAAGCATGCAATTCTGATAACATACGTTGAAACATGAAGTATAGCGAGATTTGCAGGCTCCAGCAGATTTCCCCCAAGTATTTTGGTTGTACAGAGCTCCATCCATCTCCCTGTTAACTTTTCCCAGTATGTGTCCATTTGCTGTAAAAAGCATCTTCTCAGCACATTGCTTCCACCGCCATGTTTTATCCAGGGGACCATGTGTTCCGGATTGTTATGCTGCACAAATAATAGTTGGGTGGAAAGATTCTTTCTCTTTAGTGTGGATATCTGCAGCTCTCTGGCTGGAGTTCTGATTTATGTTTTTGCTTCCCCTGTCTAACATGACAGAAAATAAGAAATTATGTAGTATTGGTGTGATTATAGTTTCCAATTCGCTTTTTTTTTTTCAGCATCAATCTTAGAATTAAAGGTGTAATACCTAGTAGAAGCCATTTCTTTTTCTTAATTTTTTTTCCAGATGATACAGTAAATACTGAATTTATGCTGGGGTAACTGATAAACTGTAACTGTAATTAAATATGTTTGTTTTCCATTCACAATGTTTTTTGTTTTTTTTGGAGAAACCTAACCTAATTCAAAATCTGGGACTCGTTTGATCTGTACCGTTTACAGTTACTATCTTTCATTTTTGTTGCCAGTTTTTAAGACTGCTTCAAGAGCATAAATTATGTACTAATTGCACTTTGATGTAAAGCCAGCAGGATTTAATAACTACTCATTTCCATCAGCAAATGCAGAGGTTAGCATGGCTCCGTTCCTTCACTGTCTTGTATAAAACCAGCATGGTGTTTTACTTCCAAGGAAAACATGGCTTTAAATATTGTATGCATATTAACAGCTTCCTCCTGAGGAGGAGGGTAGGACGATGTACAACATCCTGACGACTTGATTCATTACAACATGCCCTGAAGCTAAAATATTCTCTCTCAAGTGCTACCAGTTCATTGTGGTCAGTGTCAGTTTGAGCTGAGGAAGGCAGACCCAAGTTTTCATCTCAGAATATTAAGGGGGGTGACTCACTCTAACAGGAAAAGAACAAGCTTCTGCTTTTTGCTTTACAACTTTGAAACAAGTATTTAACAGCAATGAATTGTCTCTCTCTCTCTATCTCTGAACAGCTGTGAGATTGCTATACGATTATTTTGCTAACTATTCTGATTCATAGAAAAATATTACAGTGCTGGGTATTTGTTGGGAAAAACATGCCAAAATGCATTTTACTGTATCTGATAGTTATTAGTTGGAATTATTTATGAATCGCAGGTGATGATGTACAAAAAAATTGACTGCACTTATCTTAGTTATAAGGCTTATTTCTATATAAGCAGGACAAGTGAGCAGCCTTCTCTTAGGACACTGTTTCCAAGAATATAACATCTATTATAGTAAAATAAAACAGATTTTTAGACAACATTAAAGTGAGAGCCTTAGTTAAGATGACTACAATATCTCCAAAGTCTTCCAACAAGCACCAGGGTGGCCTTTTTCTTAACGTTAGGATTAGAATGGTAAAGCATAATTTTTAGAATGGTAAAGCATACTTTTCCGGATAGACACTAAAGTGACACTAAACTTTTACTATATTATAAATAACTTTTGTTATTTGTAAAGACTAATGCAAACACTTTGGTCTGACAAATCCTCCTCCTGAATATTTGACTTATTTTGAAGGTCCTTTGTCAGGAGAAAAAAAAGTATTGTGTGCTTGTAATAGACTTGAGGTGTGCCATCTTTTTAATTTACTGTACTGTCTACTGTGAGGTTGATTGATATCCTAGTAAGTGGACTTGCTCATAATTTAGGGTGAAAACATTCATCACTATAATAAAAATGCAATGCAGAGGAGTCATCTCTAAAGAAGCATCTGAATGGGTGTGCGTTTTTATCTTCAAATATGTTGAAGCAATGTGTCACAATTTTTAAGTAAAATAAATAAAAAAATCCCAGGTCACAACTCCGACTTTTTAAGAACTGACTGCTGCAATGGTTCAGTTTTTATCCTATCTGAAAGCCATATATTATCAGTTCTACATAATCAGAAAAAAAAACATAGTTATGTGTTGATTTGCCTCAGTAATTATATCTAATTGCAAAAGTAAAGAAGAAGACAGTTCAGCATGTTTGAATTTTGATTTCTTGTTTATGAGCAGCCAAATCAATTCTATTGTATGATGATATATACTGAAAGTCAGATAAAGAATAGAGATGCACTGATCCGATACCTGGATCAGATATTGGCTCAATACTGACTAACTAGCTGGATAATCGAAAATCAGTGATTTGATATTAATTAATATCAAATGAAGCTCCAATCCAGTGCACTTTACATTTAACTGTATTGTTTCTTGTTTTTGCTCTTATTTATTAATAAATAATATAAAGTACATTTTTATCTGTGTTGATTTTTAACTTTTTTTTTTTTTTTTTTTACATTTTTATCTGTGTTGATTTTTAACTTTTTTTTTTTTTTTTTTGCACTGTTTATATCAAGGCTAAAGCCTTCACTCGAATGGGAAGACATGTTTGTTCTTTCGTTCGTTCTTTCATTCAGCCGTTGAATAGGATTGGTATGGGATATCAGCCGATATGCTCAGCCTATTTGTCTGTATCCATACCCAGACTGGCCATAGGGAGAACCGGGAGTATTCTCGTAGTGCCGGCCTGGGATTGGCCTGCTGACCTGCATCTCTCTCTTTTTGTTTGTTTCAAAGTCTGCCGGTGCAGAGGCCAGATTAGAGAGGCAGGCCAGGCCACATAGACCAGTACCATGTGAGGAGGGAAAGACGATCAACAGTCAGTATCAACCACACAGACAGCAGTGACGTGTGTCTGGTGTCAGCTAGCGAGCTGCAAGTGAGGATAAAAAGCAATGGACTCTGTCTTCGAATATAGTAAAAGGAAGAGGAAAGGCAGCGCAGAAAGGGAGAGAGACAAAAAAAGAAAGGCGCTGGAGGAGGACGCGGCCAAATGCAGAAAAGTAACAAATTTATTCACCCCACCCATGGTGCCATTAAGAAAAAAAAAAAAAAAAAGTTGCAGACAACATTTTGTTTGTTTTTAAAGTTAAAACACAGTATGATATCCAGAGATTTAGATTATTCTATTAAATGATTGGGTTGTTGAATTTTTCTGTCTGTTGCTGACTTGCAGTTACGTATCACAGCTCAAACAAGAAAGTTTGTTATTCCAACCTTGGATATACTGTAGGTTGAGGCTCATCACTATTCCCCGGATGATGATCTGTCATTGAAGCATGATATGATATGATATGACAATGTATAGCTCTAACCTTGGCACTGCTTATTATGTAAAATCTTTATTATCTTGGTACTATCTCAATTACAGCGGTAGAGTTACTGTATATTCCAAACTTAGAAATGAGAGTAGGTTCTATAGATCAGTGTTTCCCAACCCTTTTTACCTTGTGTTCCCTGTTGGGCAATTTTTCGTACCATGAATCCCCCTCTCAGTCAAAAGTATTGATGATTTTCCAAAAGTGGAATATACAATAACTGAAATAAATACTATTTTACTTAATCTCTTAATTTGAGCATGATGCTTTCTATCTTAGATAAAAAAAACAACAACATAAATATGTTGCCTGAAAGTTAGTAAGGAATCAAAATGGGTACAGCATAAAATAATACTATAAACCTGCATTCATAAAACTGGAGCTTCTCTGAGTAATTCCATTATAATCACATTTAAACTTGATGAATTGGGAACAAAATGCAGAACAAAAATTATGGTCAGACAGAATTAATTAGTTTTACTTTGTTTTCATGGAAACACCTGAGCTTGTTTTGATTAGCTCTGATAGCTTAATGTGAAAAACAGCTGATACCAGGCTGTTCTCTCCATCCGGTCTGTTCCTCTGCTTGGTTTTGATGTGGGTCCAAGCTGAAGGTGAACTCAAACATATCACTAAAACATTATTTTTGATTGATAAAAGCTTTTTTAATTTTCCAGTTGGGTCCCCAGAAGGCAAAACAGATCCCAGCCCTGTTTTATTTTACTACCTAAGAAATCAGTCATGTCAGTGATGTCACCAGGCGAGGTTGGCCTGGTGACTTCACTGACGCTTGGCATGAAAAAATCTCCCAGTCCAACCCTGTTTGTATCAGATTGGAACTTAGACCAAAAGTATCCAAAGGTGATTTGATTTTTTTTTTTTTTTTTATATCCTGTTTAGTATACATGTTGTTCTTTTTTCTACTATTTGTACTGTATATAATATAACTGTTGATCAATCCTATATATTGGCTTCAGAGATCAAAGAAATCCACTCCACTTTCTGTAGATATTTGTGAGTTTCACCAAACAAGTATCTCAAACCAAAAATTGTTCACATATTTCTTCCTCAACTATTTATTTTTATGACTTTGCTGTGAAATGTAATGACATTTTGCTTGACAACTAATAATAAATAAAATTCTCCAAGGTTGACTACTTATATGTTAACGAGCTATGTCATAATGTTTTTAGGTTTACAGTATCTTCTTTAGGAAACAGAAAGACATAGATTCTTATGGGACATAGTTATCCAGAAATGGATTGTGTTCTAAAGGTAATTTTTCCTTCAGAAATGTCAACTATTACACTCAGTAACTTAGCAGCTGCAGTATCTGGTTTCTTTTCAACTTTGTTCCCTCATAAAATCGGATTATTTCCCTTGCGAGGAGCAAACCTCCTCACTGGAAATAATTTCAAAGATTTTCTGACAAGTGCAGCGTGAATGCTGCTTAATTAGAGCAGAAGTCAGAATGTCTCTTTGAAATTTCATAGAATGTTTTTGGGGTAAAAATAAAAAAGGCTGTATTTTATTTTATTTTTTTACGTGCGCTAACTTAATGAAATGTGTCCCTCAAATTTTATTACCAGGAGTGGTTTCTCGGCAAGCCTCTCCATGATGAGGAATCGACCATTATCCATCACTATGCCTTTGCAGAGAATCCCTCAGTCTTTAAATATCCAGACTTTGCTGCTGCTTGGGCTTTAAGCATGCCCCTGGTTGTTCGGTGAGTAGACAATTTCTCAGATTTTACATCAAGCAGGAATCAATAGACGGCATTCTCTACGGTGTGTGTTATATTTTAAGATTTGTGATTTGGATTATTTTTTCTCTAGGCTTGCAAACAAAGTGAGAAATGAGCCACTGAAATCAGACTTCACTATTGACCTAAAGCATGAGGTAAGATATACTAGTCAAGAAAAACATGGAAGACATCTAACCTTGAAGTAAATGTCATTATGTTGGAGTATTGTCACAGTGCAGCTTTGAGGCTCTTTTTCTTAACTGAAATTCAGGCAGAGAGGCTTCGTGGGAGTCTGTGGAGTAAACATGGCATTAGCCTTATAAGGCAAAGTCTGTTGACTGTGGTTCCGCTTCAGTTGGCATGAGTTCCTTCCTGTAGAAATAAATACAATTTACTGTGCTTTTCTGTGGTAAAAGATATAGAAAATAATATAAAATATATAAAAGAAGGAGAACAATGCTAGTAATTTTTCCTTTTAAATAAATACATTATTTGTATATATTATATATAATGTGCGATGCATGCGTTAGTTTTTAATGTCATTGTAGTTTTATTTTCTCTTTGTTTTTGTTTACCGATCATCTTTGCATAGATATCAAGCTCAGTCAGATTGCATTAAGAGCAATAATACATGTTGACCAGTTTTGATTTCTTGCCAAAAATGTAGCTCTAATCTTCCAGGACATAAAAATGCTTTAATCTGAATTATTCCTTTGTAACCCTGGATCAGAGTTCAGGGCCATTGTCCTGATGGAAAGTGAACTTCAGTCACAGTCTACACAGAAAAAATAATGCAACCGTTTTTTGGCATTTACTTAATCATATTTATTAATTTAACACAATTGTTTTATGTCCTACCCTGCTAACATGAAACAATTTTATAGTAATGAAATATGAATAAGTAAATTTAAAAAACGGCATAATCTGCAAAGGGGAATTTTTTTAAATTATTATTAATTAAATAGAATAGAACAGAATTAAATAGAATAGAATAGAATAGAATAGTTATTTATCCCTGAGAGGAAATGCTGTTGCTCAACATGAATATACTCACACCTGTAGTCATCCAATGTACTATATAATATGTGGAACCCAGAATTTTGAGAGAAGTTTAAGAATAGAATATAACTTGAAATCCAACTTTTTATTAACATATTAGGTAAGCTCCCTATTTAAAATTTCATTTATGTTTAAGAGAATATATTAAAAATAATTACATTAGATATACAACATACATTACAACATACAAGTACATATAAAACAGCATTTTTTTAGGTTTACAGTTGAGTTGTATTCTATTCTATACAGTTGTTGAGTGAAAGGATCTCCTGAAATGCTCAGTTCTGCTGCACAGAAGAGCTGACTGCTGCTACCACTTGTTTGGTGCTCCTGGTAGCCATGTGTAGGGTGTCTGCCATTGTTGGAACAGGCCTTCAATATGTTCAATGCCTCTCTACTGCAGATCCTAAAGGCTGAAACCTGCTGCTCGCCAATGAGCAGACCCTTTTAACCTGCTTTTCTAGCTGCTTAGTTCTTTTCTGTGAAGCTGCCACTCCAACACACTGCCACTTAAAAATAGCAAGCACTATATAGGGTGGTAGAACTCGGTCAACAACTCTTTAAAAATGGAGGAAAAACAGACAGTTTTACCACTTTCTGTCAAGGGTTTCTTTGTTGAAGGACCAGTCCAGCCTATCCACCAGGTAGGTAAATATGTGCCCCCAATTGATGCCCTCCCTCTGTATTAAGACTGGCTGATCTTTGGTTTTGGCCATGTTTAGGTTAACTCAGCATGTGTTGCATTATTCTCTATGAAAACTCAAGACTTTGCTGTACTCCTTTTCCTAATCTCACCAGATATACAGTGGGGCAAAAAAGTATTTAGTCAGCCATCAGTAGTGCAAGTTCTCCCACTTAAAAAGATGAGAGAGGCCAAGAATTTTCATCATAGATATACCTCAACTATGAGAGACAAAATGAGAAAAAAAAATCCAGAAAATCACATTGTCTGATTTTTAAAGAATTTATTTGCAAAATATGGTGGAAATAAGTATTTGGTCAGTA